AGCCTTCATCCGCAATGATGGCCTGGGTGCTTCAGAGACGCAACCGTCGCGTCGATTGGCCTGGCATAATGATGTATATCCGTGTTCCAAGAAGACGAATACAAATCGTCAGATTTACGTCCTCTCGGTTTCCCGCCCTTCTCCATCACCGTCAGATCCGGACAGTGATCCCTTGCCGTAGGATTTTGAAGTTTTCATCCAGAGGTTGGGGGTCGAGGATTTCGTTCTCTTTAAATACTCTTCATGAACCCGAGAGCCATTTTTTCCTTCTCCAAAACTTCGAACTTTTGTTGCGTTCCCGTTGAACCATTGCATTTTGCCGGAACCTTCTTTGCTGAACTTCCGACTTCACCCTTCTTACCCTCCGTGGTATATTACGAAGTCGTCCCGGAAATCCTTCTTCACCGGTAAGTTTCTGAATCTTCTCTTGCTTTGCGTACTCACGGGGTTCCCCCTGTTGTGTACCTGGAATATGTAAATTTATATGCACAAAATGAGAATATAAAAGTTAAGGAGACTTACTTCGTTGTGTTCTGTCGCACTGGATGACCTGGTCTTTATACATTTTTTATTGTCTGTGTGCCTTTGGTTTATGGGTTCTGGGGAACCCGTGATTCCTATGAACACTCGCTGTTACCGTTCTCATATGAATGGTCAACGTCAAGTCGAGGTGTTTGAGCAGTCGTCGTTTAGAGTAGTCGTCGCTTCTTCCTCTCGACGTTAGAGTTTTAACTTAGCTTCTTGTCCTTTTAATTACCAGAACAATGTCCCAAAGTTAACCCAGTCGAAAGGATTCTTCTTATGTCGTCCGTTCTGACCCCCCTCCGGTGGTGGAGATTTCATGGACTTCTTCATCCTCCGGCGTCAGCTCTGTGCTTAGGGATATAGAAGACGTCGAGGGAAGTTACGAGCCGGGCGACGACTTCAGAAGCGAATTCGGAAGCGTCGACCGGTTGATAGACGAGGTAGTCAAGCGAATCTCCTTTACCGGGGGCAGCGTAAGTGGGGTAGCTGCCGCGATGGTGGATGCCCCCTGGCTGCCACGAGCGGTGACCCAGATAGGCCTTCCTTCACGGCCGATGGTGTGGCGTCGAGGGTCCGAAATAAAGATATCATTCGGGTTGTAAAGGAGGGATGCATCGACGGGAAGTGGTTCGAGTACCTCCTTCCGGACATACATTTTAGAACTAGCATGCCGCCGACCGAATATCTTCCGGTCTATCCAAGAGCAGTAACCGCGGGGATGACACTCCCAGTTCATCCCTTCGTAAAAGATTACTGCCATTTTTATGGCATCTCCCCTGCCCAACTGGCGCCGAACTTCTGGTACAGCTTTGCAGGAGCCTGGATTCTATGGCACCAGAAGTTTGACATGGAACTCCAATTGGATGAGTTCCGATTCATATACAAGCTGTGCCATGTCGCCAAATGTGACGGGTGGTACTTTCTGAGTGGCCACGGGAGGGCTCAGCCCAGGTTTGGGAAGCTCATTCTGGGCATTCCCTCGTCGTCACATGGGTGGAAACCCATGTTCTTCATGATCCGCGGGCCTTTCAACTTTCATCCTAATGACCGCCAGCCCTGCCGAAGGCAGGTGCAGGCGGCGTTTGGAAATATGAGTAAGTATCTTGACTTTCTTTTTATCTGACTTTGCTCTTTTTTCATATGTTGATGAGGATTCCCTTGTCCTGCAGTTAATTAGGACCGGCCGAAGTTCTCCGGTAATAGTTTGGCGAGGGTCGAGCAGGCTTTTTCCTATCCGTCAGAGGTTCGCCATATTGACACGCTTCTGACCAAGGAGAATCTTCGCGCTACCGGCCTAATCCTAAACCTCCCCAATCCTTCGGACTTAGACGCTTTGGACTTAGACGTCGTCCGCACGTACTTTCATTTAAGCGACGAAGGTAATTACTTCTCTCGGCGCCTTCTAAAATCATCGTTCGTGTTTTCCTAACGCTGATCATATCTTCTTTTCGTCGCTAGAGATGGCGTCGTTGAGGATTCAGCTACCTGGGAGCCAACGGTCGGGGCCGAGCCAACAGCCCCCGTCTGACCCGCAGCCCCCGCCGAGCCAACAGCCCTCGTCAAAAGGAAAAGAGAAGGCCAGCTCTTTTTCTCCTGCGCCGAAGGGCAAGAAGGTCAAAGATCCTTCGGCACCGGGGGGCAAGCATGCTCACAAAAAGAGGCGCACCGATAAGAAGTCGACCACCGACCAAGTATCGACTGACAAGGCCTGGACACCGGTGGTGCCCCTCCCCGATGTTAGCGCTCCCCCGGCGCCGAGAGAACGCGTGCTGATCCCGGGGGGAAAGATAATGGATGGGAATTTTCAAGTCTCGGATATTTTTGATGCCGAGGTTGGGGCAATGCTGAAACTTCCCCCTCGCTTCTCTCTTGTCTTCCAGGCTCTTTATGAGTCTTTCCTCGAGCCTCATTGGATCGCAGCGTCCTAGTCTTCCTTGGTCGACCGCCAACGCAAACAGATCTCCTTCCAGATCCATGTAAGATTTTGCCGAGTTTTTTTTTTTTTTTTTAAACCTTTCCTGATTTTGCAACCTTTCCAGAGCCTCATCCTTTCCCTTCTTAATCTCCTCGACTTAGTCAAGGTCGAGGAGCGTAAGGGTGAGATGGATGATTTGGAGGCCAGGCTTAGGTCTCTCGTTGATGAGGCCAAGAAGAATAGGGATGATGCCGTCGAGGAGAGGGATGTGGCCATGGCCAAACTGACAAGCTTGGAAGGCGACTTGGCCGAGCTGAAGGCCAAAGTTAAGGACCTCACTCAGCGGACAGACTTGTCTGAGAAGAAGTTGGCCGAGGCGACCGTGGCGGCCGAGAAGCGCTTTACCGAGGGAAAGGCTGAGGGGAAGAAGGAGGCCGAGGCCGAGGCTGCCGCAATCTTCGACGCTAAGCGGGCGGAGATTATTGAGGAGTTCAAGACTTCTCAGGAGCTCATGGATATCCGCAATAAGGATTTCCAGTCGGCGGGTCAGCAAATTGTTGACCTAATCAAGAAGGAGCGTCCTCATTGAGACTTGGGCTTTCTTTATAACTCTCCTACTCCCGCGGGCGACGACGGAGTGTCCCCTCCCGGTGGTGATGAAGGGAACGCTTCTTCCTTGGGTGGCGGCGAGGCACCAGCGACTGGTGGTGACGCTTAGGGATCCTCACTTTGCTTTTCCCTTTTTCTATTTCTTTTGGGAATATTTGTAACTTAATATTTGCTTCAGACACTTTTTATTTTACCTGCATTTTTGTATATATAAAGACAACAGGTTTTGTTTATACCTTGATTCGCGTTTGCCGCTTCTTAGAAAATTTCTTAGAATTTTTCTAAGTGTGTGTCATTCTCCCTGTTTTTGTTTGAGGACTTAACGTCGATTTTTACCCCTTAGGGTCGTCGTCTTAGGAAATTCCTTATAATTTCACTAAGTGTTTGTCTTTCCTCCTTGGAGGATCTGACGTCGAATTTACCCCTTGGGGTCGTCGTCTTAGGAAATTCCTTAGAATTTCACTAAGTGTTTGTCTTTTCTCCTTGGAGGATCTGACGTCGAATTTACCCCTTGGGGTCATCGTCTTAGGAAATTCCTTAGAATTTCACTAAGTGTTTGTCTTTCCTCCTCGGAGGATCTGACGTCGAGTTTACCCCTTGGGGTCGTCGTGTTGTTTTTAAGTGATCCGCGGACGGACCCCTATCCCCCCATGTCCGTTTAATATAACCTTGGTTTCTTAGGCAAACATGTTATTAAGGGGTGACTTCATATTTTTCTGCAAATATATCAGTGTATTCAATTTATAAAGAATGCACAATTGAAATACGTTAAGAATTTCACACGCTATTGGTAGTATAGCCTTAGCTGTTCGGCGTTCCATGGGTGTTGAACTCTTCTGCCACCGAGGCTTTCCAAAATGTAGGTGCCAGGACGTAGTATTTCCTTTACGCGGTAGGGTCCTTCCCAAGTTGGGCCCAGGGGACCAGTATTTTTGGATTTTGTGCTCTGCGTTACCCTTTTTAATACTAGGTCTCCTGGGTTGAACCTTCTCTGTCGGACTTTCTTGTTGTAGTATCGTGCCGTGCGTTGCTGATAAGCGGCGAGACGTAGTTGAGAGTCGAGTCATTTTTCTTCCAACAAATCGAGTTCTCCATTCATGCCCTCTACGTTGTCAGCATCGTTGTGGACAACTGTTCTTAGAGTCGGCGTTTCGATTTCTATGGGAAGCACTGCCTCGACGCCATATGCCATGGAGAAAGGTGTCTCACCCGTTGTAGTTCGGCTTGTTGTTATGTATGCCCATAAGACTTTGGGAAGCTCCTCGGCCCATCTCCCTTTTAGGTCGTCGAGTCTTCTTTTAAGGGTGTATTTCAATATTTTATTGACCGCCTCGACTTGTCCATTTGATTGTGGATGGATTGGCACCGAGAAGTCTTTTCGGATGCCCAAACTGTCGCAGAACCTGCGTGTTGAGGCGTTGTCGAACTGTTTCCCGTTGTCGGACACTATTGAGTGGGGAACCCCAAAACTGCACACGATGTGATCCCACATGAATTTGGTGCAGGTTGCTTCCGCGGTTATAGCTAAGGCCTTGGCCTCAGCTCACTTTGTGTAATAGTCTACCGCAACAATCGCGAATTTAAACCCCCCAGGCGCAGGATGCAATGGCCCGATCAGGTCAACCCCTCATTTGGCAAAGGGCCATGGGCTGAGAATGGAAGTTAGCTTTTCTGGGGGTGCTCTAGGAATCATGGCATATCTTTGGCATTTATCGCATCGTCGGGCGTATTGAAAAACATCCTTTTTGAGCGTAGGCCAGTAGTATCCTTGCCTCAAAACCTTTAGAGCTAGAGATTGCCCTCCGGTATGATTGCCACAGATCCCTTCATGGATTTCTTGGAGGACCTTCTGGGCTTCAGCATCATCTAGGCACCGCTGTAGAGGTGTTGAGTAGCCTCGTCGATAGAGCAGTCCATCGTATAATAAGTACCTAGCAGCTCTATACCTGACTCATCGGGCTTCGTCTTTATTATCCGACAGCTGCGCGTCCATTAGGTATCGTGTGAGTGGCGTCATCCAATTTTCACCTTCTTGGACACTTAATGCCTTTGCTTGCTCCTTGATGGTTGGCCGCTCCAATTCTTCAATGGGAACGACGCCTAATGTGTCGGAATCCCTTGATGAGGCCAGCTTTGCCAAGGCGTCCGCATTTGCGTTTTCGGCTCGTGGAATCTGGAGTATTTCGTAGTTTTTGTACTTAACGAGTTCCTCCTTTACTTTTCTCAGATATGCCCCCATCTTCTCGCCGCGTGCTTGGTATTCTTCCTTTACTTGCGCGACGACTAACTGGGAGTCGCTGTAGACGCTTATCCTCTCGACCTTCAGGTGGTTAGCTAAACGTAGTCCGGCAATTAGGGCTTCATATTCTGCCTCATTGTTTGACGCCTTAAATTTAAATCGTACCGCCGAGGTAATCTTGTGGCCTTTGGGGCTGATTAACAAAACGCCGGCTCTTGATCCGTTTTCGCTCGACGCCCCATCTACGTAAAGCTTCCATTTTGTAATCTCAGTTTCTTCAGATGGGGTGGGAGTCGGCCTATGAGAGAATTCAGCCAGAAAGTCGGCGAGCGCTTGGCCCTTAATCGCGGTTCTTAGCACGTCCTTTATGTCGAACTGGCTGAGTTCTACTGACCATTTGAGGAGTCAGCCGGATGTTTCGGGCTTTTGTAGAGCCTGTCTCAGCGGGTGGTTTGTGAGAACTCGTATTGTGTGGGATTGGAAGTAGTGCCGAAGCTTCCTCGAAGCTACCATCAGGGCGAGGGTGCTCCATTTCGCTGTATCTTGACTCGGCGTCGATGAGCCTTTTGCTCACATAGTAGATCGGCAATTGCACCTTTTCTTTTTCTCTTAACAATACGGAGCTCACAGCGTGTTGGGACACGGAGAGGTATAGGCTAAGCTCCTCGCCGACGTTCGACTTTGATAAAATTGGGGGTTTGCCCAAATGCTCCTTCAGTTTTTGGAAAGCCTCCTCACATTGTGGTGTCCACTCAAAGTGCTTGCTTCCTTTCAAAGCATCGAAGAAAGGGATACATTTGTCAGTGGCTTTTGATATGAACCTATTTGGGGCGGCGACACAACCCGTCAACCTTTGCACCTCTTTCGGCTTTGTTGGTGACCGCATGTCTTTTAGGGCTTTGATTTTCTCGAGGTTGGCCTCAATCCCGTGGTTACTAACCATAAAACCGAGGAACTTCCCCGACCCAACTCCGAAGGCACATTTCTGGGGATTAAGTTTCATGTGATATTTTCTTAATATACTAAACATTTCTCCCAGATGATCGACGTGATGGCTGGTCCTGGCGTTTTTTACGAGCATGTCGTCGACGTAGACCTCCATCGTTTTGCCGAGCCGTTGAGCGAACATCTTATTCACAAGCCTTTGGTAGGTAGCCCTTGCATTTTTTAGACCGAAAGACATCACCTTGTAGCAGTAGAGACCCCTATCGGTTATGAAGGATGTGTGCTCCTCGTCGGCTGGATGCATGGGGATCTGATTGTATCTGGAATTCTGTCTAACATTTGGATCAGTGCAGAGATAAGGGGATAAGGTTGGATAACAAATTTGCAATACATATCTTTGGCATAGGTATAACTTGTAAATATACATTATAGAAAATATAACTTACAATCCCATTAAAAAGTACAATTTATAAATATTATAGAGAATATATTGAAAGGTTAGCTATTATTGGTTTCTTAGTCCCATTATGCACCAAGCACACTACAAGATAAATATTTATAACGTGTATCTATTTAAAAGTTAATACTGACAAGTTCTGGTGGATTTTGTTCGCACTGTAATACTACCAGTATACCGTACCAAATAAGTAATAATTTTCTACAAGGAAATACCTAATACAGTCCATAAATATAGTAAATTCAATCTAGCCCAAAATAATATAATTCTATCTGATGCTATCTGCAGATGCAATTTTTCTTTCTTTTTTTTTTTTAAGAGAAACACCGGGCAGCTTAAATGTAAGATTTTAGCATCAATGATGGGAACTTCTTATGAAAAGTATTCCACCAAAATCCAAAGTGAGTCACATTTCTAAATTTCCAAATGTGATGTTACATAGAATTTTAATATAATTATTTAACAGTTAGAAACCGAACCCTAATGCTTTCATAAGAATAAAAAATGAATCTCGCTACTAATGTGACGTTTAGTAAGGGGATTCGTACCCTAATTCGAATCATGGTTTATAGTTCGCTACAGTGTTTTTTCTCATAAAAAATACACGTAAATCAAAAATAATTCTAATCTCATAATTCTAATTCATAAACCAAACGTCTCAAACTCAACCAGTGGGTGCATGCACCTGGAGTTAATTAGCCCTAGTAGGACCTGGAATATTGGCTTTTTTTTTTTTTTTCATTTCTTCTCAGTTTTGTTTCTTTTTCTTTTTTTCCCTCTTGATTTCTTATTGGTTTTTTACCTGCTTTTGAGTTGACACACCAACTGCTTCAGTAATAGAAACCAATAAATGGAGTTAGTTTTTAAATTACCGGTCCTTGCTCTTATTGTGTATTAATTGTAACAGCATTGAAGACGATCGTTTTATGATCTTTCATTTTACGACAGTGCTTCTGTCAAAGCTAGACGTCAATGGACTGATCAAGTCCACAGTGGTCAGTTTTCTCTCTTTAGTTTTCTGATTTCCAATTGTACTGTTTTTTACACCGCGATACTATTATAGGGAGAGAAGGGCCAGAGAACCTTGAAATCAGATAATTATTCGGCACTTTTGTCATGTCATTATCACATGAAAATCACATCTTCCTTAGTTTATTCTTTTACTGATCATCAATTACAATGGTTCAATACACACATATATACCAATTCACGAGTCTAGTTATTATTCACGATGAGATGATTATGAGGATTTTTTTGTAAAGTTGGTTGTCCTAGTTTTCTTTATATAAAAAGGAGGCGTGTCGTTTTTAAGATTAATTAGAGAGGTTAGAGAAAAACACAGTGAATCCGAGAAGTGTAAGATTTTCTCTCGTAATCTTTTTGATTTTTATCATAGTGAATTTCTGTAGTAGTTGAAAGTAAACATAGCTTTCTCATTAAGATGATCACAATAAATATTGTATATTCTTTGATTTTTCTTAGTTTTCTTTATATAAAAGGAGGCGTGTCGTTTTTAAGATTAACTAGAGAGGTTAGAGAAAAACACAGTGAATCCGAGAAGTGTGAGATTTTCTCTCGTAATCTTTTTGATTTTTATCATAGTGAATCTCTGCAGTAGTTAAAAGTAAACATAGCTTTCTCATTAAGATGATCACAATAAATATTGTATATTCTTTGATTTTTCCGTTAAAATTTTATATTATTCTCGCTAAATTTAGAACTAAGATTTCTAATTCTTAACAGTTCACTTATTAATTCTGACAAGATAATAATTGATTAGTAAAATTTCACAAGTATACATCTATCTACAAGGGACACACATGCGATCTAAAAAGAAAGTGTCATGGCGAAAATTTTCTGTCGTTCAATGTTAGCCCACAATTATGAATTGTTTCCTTAACCATTAAGATTAAGATCATACAAAAGATTTACACGGAATTCAAAGCCTATAGGAAACAATTATCCTTCAACGTTAATGACTAACATACGTAGCTAGCTTTTCAAATTTGAAAATAGCCTCATGATTTAATATTGGAAGCTGACATCTAGATAGGTTTTCGTTCTTTTGTCCCTTCAAAAGAAATGGTATAAAGTTTTTTGATTAGTCATTTATATGCTATATATATATATATATATATATATAGAAAAAAAAAACCATCAATAGAATAGATATTGGTGCAACGCTTAAAGATGTATCTCCTAATACTTTTTCTCTCGCGTGTGTTTAAAATTTGATATCCACTTTAAAGTCCTTATCCGGTTAATTAATAAACCTATAATTTGAGTATAATTGAGTATAAAATTCTTTTTTTTTCTATTATAACGGGTCTTTGAATTTAACTATAGACGAGGGGATGAAAGACGAAAAATGACACCCAAATCTTCTTTTTCATTAGAAAGAAAAATATGCAGAAGCAAAATGCCTATGTGGCACATATATGAACAAATACAGTAGAGAAATGTGCGTACAGTATGCATATAAGACATAAATATAATATTAAATATTACAAGTATAAACACATATATTATTTATTTATATGACTTGCGCATCATTAATTCATGTTGAGCCAGAGGTCAACTTATAAACGCTCTTTAATATCGGGCCTCCTAACCAGATGTTCCATAATCATACGAAATGTGTTTATTACATGTACATATGTATTGGAAAAACCTGAATTGAAATGGGCCCAATGATCAGATTTTCATAGCCATACGGAACAAAGCTACAAGCTAGGCTGTATAGCCCAAGCACTTTTTTGGAATTTGGTAGTTGGATTACTCTATATATTTTGCTTAAACTTGCTGAAACTTTAATTCCATCTAATCTTTCTTGTCTAATATTGAACGTGAAAATAGAAAGTACATAAAATAAGAAGAAAACGAAGAACTTTATTAAATTGGAAACTGTCCACATGATACGAATTTCATGACTCCCGGCCTATAATTATTTAGAATATTCTTTTTTCATTTGTGTGCAATAAATGTTACAAGGGAACTACCATTAAGGGGTGTTTTCCAAGTTGAATATGCTTTTCAATAATGGAAAGTATAAGTAATAATTAGTTGGAGGTTCTCAGCAAATAAATACATATTGATAAATGTATTATTAAGTGAGGCATGAATTTCTATTGCGCAAAAGAACAAAGAAGAAAAAGTTAAAATCGTAAATTTACAACAGAGAGAGGTACTTCACGCAAACATGTCTTCTTTTTCACTCACAAACGAACTTGCAGAGAGAGAGAGAGAGAGAGAGAGAGAGAGAGAGAGAGAGAGAGAGAGAGAGAGAGAGAGAGAGAGAGAGAGAGAGAGAGAGAGAGAGAGAGAGAGAGAGAGAGAGAGAGAGAGAGAGAGAGAGAGAGAGAGAGAGAGAGAGAGAGAGAGAGAGAGAGAGAGAGAGAGAGAGAGAGAGAGAGAGAGAGAGAGAGAGAGAGAGAGAGAGAGAGATGAATGTTCTCTCTTCTCTGCATTTGTCCAAATTCACCCCTTTTTTTATGAGATAGTGACATAGATCTCTTCTTTTCCACTTGATGATTGTCATTGGCTACTTTTTTTTTTTTAAATTCATCCCTTTTTTTTTGAGATAGTGACATAGTTCTAAATAAGAAGAAAACGAAGAACTTTATTAAATTGGAAACTGTCCACATGATACGAATTAGTTGGAGGTTCTCAGCAAATAAATACATAATTACAACAGAGAGAGAGAGAGAGAGAGAGAGAGAGAGAGATGAATGTTCTCACTTCTCTGCATTTTTCCAAATTCGACATAGATCTCTTCTTTTCCACTTGATGATTGTCATTGGCTACTTTTTGTTTAAATTTATCCCCATGAGAGCCAAATTGCTTTTTTTTTTTTTTTTTTTCCCATCTACGTATGTAAGAGTCTTTCTATTCACTTTAACCACTAGAATCTAACTGAATCTTAAACCAAAAGGTAAAAGTGTTAATTAATTATAGTTAGTGTCACAATCAAACTAATGTACTAATAGCAAAACTAGGGTTTAGTTTTATGCTTAAACGATGTTAACGCGTCATTTCCTTTTAAAAACGGTACTAAAGTTACTTTGATTTGACAACTCAACATTTCCTAATAAGCACCGAAAAGGGAAAAGTTTGTTCATCAAAAACAAGGTTAATTAAATTAAGGTAGCCCTTCAAATCATCATTATCATTAACTAGCAAAGAAGCTGCGGTAGTTTTTTCTCTGTTATCTCTCGTTTTGCTGTGAAGATTTTGTGCACGTTAAATTTCCATGCATCTAAAATTTACTCGTGATAAGATATCATGAAAAAGAACTACCAAAAAAAAAAGTCTATAGGAAAGAGGAACTATTCTTACGGATAGTTACTATGATATTGATTGAGCAAAACCATAGTACTTCTAATTCTTGAGAAATGGAACTGTTAAAATATAAATTTATTGTTGGCCAACCTCTTAACAACTTAGGCCCTGTTTATTTCGCTGATTCGAGTTTATAATTCGAGTTTTGCTACAGTAAAAAGCTCTCACAAACAATCACATCTAACTTTTTTGCTACAGTAAAAGGCTCTCACATAAAATCACATCTCAACTCGAATTAAAAACTCGAATCAGCGAACTAAACGGGCCCTTAAGCTTTTAAGATAGATTAGTAAACTAGTATAGTATCAGAGAGGGAAGTTCTGAGTTCAAACTCCCATAATTGCACTCTTTATCCCATTTAAATTGTCATAATGTGTTGGATTTTTAATATATCTCAGACTTAAATATTCACGTGTTGAGCTTCTCAATTAATTTACCCACACGGTTGCCCATTGTTTAGCCCACACGTGAGGAGGAGTATTAAAGTATAAAACGATTATTGATCCACCTCCTAATAGCTTAAACTTTTTAAATGGATTGATAAACTAACAGAAACCGAATGGACTAGTGTTTTTTTTTTTTTTGCTATTAATTAAAGAAATTATAAGAATAGAAGGGAACATATGCATTAAAATAACCTCTACACCTCTACAAGCAAGTGACATTTCCGCATGTTATGGCATCGTTCACTTTGCGAATTCGAGTTTTCAATTCGAGCTGAGATGTGACATTTTTTGAAAGTTTTTCACTGTAACAAAAAAAGTTAGATGTGACATTTTCTGAGAATTTTTTACTATAGAAACTTAAAATTAAAAACTTGAATCGGTAAAATGAACGAGACTTATAAAGTGAATTTCCTAAATGACTTGTACAACGGAATCGAGTTTAAAATTTTATCAACAAGAAACGTGCAGTCTTACTACCCAATTAAAATACCGATATAAATAGTGTTAAGTATTTATTGTTTTCCTATTTCCCCTCTCCTCATTCAACTGTTAATAAGGACAGTAGAGAGAAAGGCAGAGAGAGATTAGATATGACCAGTCAAATGTACAGAGAAACTGCATGGGAAACAACAACCAAAAAAAAAAAAGAAATAGCATTTTTTAGTGTCTCCTTTTTCTCTCTCTAGTCCTGATCTTTATATAAGCAAGGCCATTCTAGTTTGTCACAAACCAACTTCTTTTTTTTCCTCCTTTGACTTCTACTTCTCAAAACTTCCCTTTTTATAAGCATCAAATCACTTCCATAACTCTCAAACCAAGAACAAAGAAGAAAACGAAAAAAAAAAATCATATATACATGGCAGCTTTTTCTTTCCCACACCACCCTGTTCTGCTTGACCCTGTTTTGTTGCCAAACAACTCTCCCATAATCAAGAACATGTCTGGTCTACTAATGGACCCCCAGATTCAAGAAGGAAATTGTTTGTCTCAGTTCTTCCCATCTGATGATTGTGTCCATGGAACCCCTTTTGAAAGAAGCTGCTCAACAAAGGTTGCTGATCTTAGTGATCATGATATTAATAATGATGAGAATTCTGTGACCAAAAAACACATCATGATCAGCACCGACTCTTCAACTGTTGTGGATAACAGCAAGCTTGAGAGTGGTGAGCAGGTCACCCAGAAGGTTACCACCATGGACAGGAAGAGGAGAATCAACAGATATGGCTCCTCCTCAAATTCTTCTCAGTCTAAGGTAAAACTTGTCTTTTCATGATTCATAGTCAGTGGGTTTTTTGTTAAAATTAGAACACAATAATAATAATAATAATAATAATAATAATGATAATAATAATAATATATTGGTTTTGTTTGTTAGGAAATTGTTGCAAGAGGAAAGAAGCAAAAGAATTGCAGTGATTCTTCTGTGAAAGATAATAATAATAAAGAGGAGAAGAAGGTAAAGCAGAATAAAAATGGAGAGGGGAAAAAGGATCAAGATGAGCCTCCGACAGGCTACATTCATGTTAGGGCAAGGAGGGGCCAAGCAACTGATAGCCACAGCCTTGCAGAGAGGGTACTTTTTTTTTTCCTCTCTCACTTGTGTCCTTCAATCTTTGAGATTGCCCATTTTATCCCTTACAAAGGACCAATATTTCTGTCATGTCTTTAGTACTTTGCTCATTATGATATAATGGACATGCCCACATTCCATGTGTTATTAAAACTAATTCTGCAAATGGGTTTTTGTATTTATCTTTTTTTTTTTTCAGTTAAGAAGAGAGAAAATCAGTGAGAGAATGAAGATGTTGCAAAAACTTGTTCCCGGGTGTGAAAAGGTAAGATTAATATATAGTGGTGATAGTAATAATAACAAAGTAGTTTCTAATAATTATTCCTTGTCTTCACTTTGTCTTTCTTCCCAATATTTAAGAGAAATAGTGACAGGATCCTATTATGATCCACTACAAGTTTGTAATAAGTTAACTGTGTTTCTTCTGACAACTTCATGTGGTTTTGTTTTAAAAATAGGTAACTGGAAAGGCCCTCATGTTGGATGAGATTATCAATTATGTTCAGTCCCTACAGAATCAAGTAGAGGTACGTAACTATATATAATTTTTCCATAATTATTACCTATAGACAATAATTACAATATCATATTTAATAATATGTCCTAGTACTTGTGGTTTTTAACCAATGTGAACCTTTATTTTATTTTATTTTTTTCTTATTTTTCAGTTCCTTTCAATGAAGCTTGCTTCTTTGAATCCCATGTTTTATGACTTCGGAATGGACCTTGATGCATTTCTGGTCAGACCAGTGGTAATATAAAGAAACAATTACAGATCTTTTTTTTTTTTTAAATTTATGTAAGTTTTTCTTATCATAATACGTGTTGTTTTTATATTTAGGGTTTGAACACTTTGGCTTCACAAATAAATCAATCTGTGCCACAATGTAGCCAAAATCAACCAACGGCTGTTTTCGCAGCTGATCATAACAGTGCAGTTCCGGCACCAACTAACTTCAATGTCACAGCCAATGACTATCCTATTTTGGACAACTCCGATTCTCTTTTGCTACAACAAGGACATAGGCCAAGTGCTTTCTCTAATGTATATGTCTTTTCTTCGTTTTTTATTTTTTAATATTATTGTTATAAACTCATTTTTTCCTTAAAACATAATTTAATGAAAAAACATTTCTCTAACGTTGACAAACATTTCGTTTTCAGGAAAATGGGACTCTCTTGTGGGATGTGGAAGATCACAGACAAAGCTTTCTTAATCCATCTGGGTTCAGCAACTTGTGTTCTTTCAATTAATTAATATTATCTAACCACCCAAAAGCTGCCCTACAAACATAGTGAGCCCTCAAAATCTTGTCCCATATACATGTGTAAATATATAAATATATAAATATATATATATAACATGCACATATATACTAGATTGTAAAAACTCAACTGCAATAATATTATATTAACGTTATGGCTTTCATTCAGGATTATAATAAATTACTACCCACTTTTTTGACTAATGCATTTTCTCTCGATACCCTTTTTCCAGGTAGTGAGGAAAAATCTAAAAGCAGGCAAAAAAAAAAAAAATTCAGAGAAAAAAAGAGAGACCAAGAAATGGGGAAATATTAAAGCTAAGGTTCTTTTGTTGAAGTATTTAGTTCCAATGGAGAAGGATTCTTCAGAGGCACTGGTTCCAAAGCCCCAATAGATTGTAGTGGACTCTGAACATGAATAAAGGGACAGCAGAAGCATCATGAGAATCAATGGATATGATATGAAGAACAAAAAAAAAAAAAGAAAAAAAACGGACATATATAACCGACCAAATAAGACCAGATCTTTTGTAGATCCCTTGTTCCTGTCCATCTTGACTCCTCTAGTCTTAGCATGCACAAATTCCGAGGCCCTCTCCTAGTGGTGGTTAGGAATTGGAGAAACTTTAATTTTTTTTTTTTCTTATTCGTGTATAATATATTGTATTTTCATGATATATATGATACTATCATAAAAAAAATTACCGTTAATAAATTTGCATATTCTTGTTGTTACAGTTGTTCTGTTATTACAGTTATTTTTACCGTTGTGGCTCACTTTCTTTTGTTAGCCGACTTTGAGCTAGGGGAGTGTAATGTTAAAAATTAAAAAGAGACTCGTGGTATTTGTAAAAATGAATTATCGATAATTTTTTTTTTTTCAACAGTTAAATTTATATTAAAATTTTTCTATTATGCATATTTTTAAATTTAACAGTGAAAAATTGAGACTACCCGTAATATGGACTAGTGGATAAACTCCCTAAAAAAAAGGAAGATTGATTCTCTTTCTGTAGTTGAAACGACTAGGCATGTACAGTGTAAATGCATTTATATTTTGTTGGTTTAATTAGTTGCCTTTGTAGGGGAATCTTTTGGTTTTTTGTCATTTTTGTGGACTGTGGTTTCTGAGATGAATCCCCCCTTTACCTTCTGCTATACAAGAGTTCTGATACCACTATTTTTTTTTTTTTTTTCAAGAATATGTTCTTGGCAAAAGTTCTCATAACGACTTAAAAAAAAATTATTTGGGGTTGCTTTAACTAAGGGAGAAAGTAATATAGTTTAAACCGTTAGATTTTTATGATGTTCAATTAAATTAATAATACCTTTTTTTAATAGGGTATGATTTCTTATAGAATAAGATGATTAAAAATTAATTATATCTTATCAGTAGGGTCTTTTTCACACCTTGCTATAAAAATATCCGTATTTTAATCAATTATAAAAGTTAGCATTAAAGAAAAGCTTTATCATTAACATACAAAAATGGATAAACAAGCCGTTGGCTAGAACAAGAAGTACTATCCGGATTTGGTGCTATAAAAAATGACCAAAATATAAAACTCAATGACGCAAGGGCAAACTTTTCTCATCCGATAGTCACATGAACATCACATGCAGAGATATGGCCGTAGCTTTTATACCTAATGGACCATGAACGGTGACTTAGATTTCGAACTTTAATATTGGCATGCTTTCAATTTCATGGAAACAATATAAGCAAGAGAATTGTGGATAGAGAAATCTTATGAAGAGTCTTTGCTTCATTGTGAAAGGGACTTCCATTAAAGATATTTTGGATTTTCGAAACTTGCCCAACAAGGCCATATCAGCATATCCATATGCTGACCAAGTCATATATAAGTTGGTGGCCAATAGAAATTGATATTTTCATAGCGTTCATCATCAAATAAATATATATTAACCATATGATTTGGACGTCAAATATTTTAATGCATTAGACACACGCCAAGAGAAAAAAATATTGTAGTAATTAAGGTCTCATTCATTTCACCGATTCGAGTTTAGAATTCGAGTTTTGTTACAGTTAAAAGCTCTCAGAAACAATCACATCTAACTTTTTTACTACAGTAAAAAGCTTTCAAATAAAATCACATCTCCGCTCGAATTAAAAACTCAAATCAGCGAACTAAACACGCCCTAAAGTAATTTGGAGAAGACATATATATATATATAACCCTTAAGTGTTGCCTAGAAGCTAGTTTACACACATACCAAGGGATCGAATCTGCACCTCCCCCATATCCTCAATGCTATTAGATTTAGCGGTCTTAAGCAGCTAGTTTTAACTTATAAGAAAGTATTATGATCACAAATTTTGTTATCTTAAATTGATAAAATTTGCACTGAATTGATGCATGGTTACCACATTAACTCTTCATACAGCATATAAAACTGCATTTTAGCAGAAAAAAAGATTAATCGTCTTTTACTTTTTAAATTTGAATATTTCAGGGACAGATAAGAAAGAAAACTGTGGACTTGGGGAAGAAAAAAGATTAAAAGGAACATTTGAGAGACTGTACAGAGGAAGACAATCCATGTGGTTTTTGTGTTCCACCTGTTTTTTTTCATGTTCATGACCCACATGTTTTCATTTTATCTCTCAAATCAACAGGACCATCCTCTTGCATATGTGGTCCAATTGACATAAATATATGACACTACCATATTGGCATTAATTTTTTAGATGAATGTCCCAGTTAAAAAAATAAATAAAATATTCAATACTTTTTTTATTATTTGGCAAAATGTTCAGTACCTCAACTCTTGCACAAAGGCCAATTATCAGCTCTAGAAACAACTCCATCTTGTAACTTACCCTTTTCAATTATTTTCTATCTCTAATTTTAAAACCTCTCATGAGGCCTTGATCTATACAAGTGTTCTTTCTAATATGAAAAAGGAACGATATTGTCATACTCTCACATATAGTCATTTATATATGCCATATATATATATGGATCTTGATGATTCAACTTTTTGCTTTATTTGAATATCTATTTTTTACAAATCATGACCAATCAAAGAAAACTAGCCCACTAGATGAGTTTCCTCTCACATATAGTCATTTATATATGCCATATATATATATGGATCTTGATTATTCAACTTTTTGCTTTATTTGAATATCTATTTTTTACAAATCATGACCAATCAAAGAAAACTAGCCCACTAGATGAGTTTTTTTATGGCCCGTTTAGTTCGCTAATTCGAGTTGAGATGTGACTTTATGTGAGAGCTTTTTACTCTAGTAAAAAATTTAGATGTGACTATTTCTGAGAACTTTTTACTGTAGTAAAATTCAAATTCTAAACTCGAATCGGTGAAATGAACGGGCCATTAATTTTTCTCATTATTCAAACCGTCCAAGAATAGCGACTTGGTCAAAAAAAAAAGAAAAAAAAAAAGCTTCCAAGTAAGATGGAATTAAAAAAAATATGTTCATGCATGAAAGTCAAAATAATCTGTGATCTTAATTATTGTTTTGCTTTTAATGCTCAAATTCCTAAATTAATGCTATAGCTCAGATATGTAGCTTCACCGAACGCATCAATTCGTTCTTAGAGGTCCCCCCATGTCTTCTGCTTTTTTATTTCTATGTTTTCTGTCCCATTTTTTAAAATTATTAATTATTGTCAAGAAACACTGCCACTAGTGTCTTTATTAGGCGCTAACTCAATATAATCATTCAAATCCTAGTTAAGGAGATCTATTTTTATATACATATAGCGTTTAGCTTACACACACAGAAATACATATCTCAATTATGATGGTGATGATCACAGATCCAAAGACTATATGAGCTGCAAGAGAGTGAGAGAGAGAGATATGTAATGATTTGTTCTAGATGACTATATGCACTAATAAGTCATGACTAAGTGCATAGTTCTTGATGATTTGATAAAGTTAAATGCATATATACACACATATATATGACGAGTTTTCCATGGTCACGTTTTTATTTGATAGGTACCATAAAATATAGAAACTTAATAACATGACGTGATAAAAATCTAATGTCATATTTAATTGTCATACAAATTTTTTATCAACTATTTAATTTATTACAATTGTCGGATTAATATCTTACGGCTAAAACAATTATATCTATTGATAAATAAATATTAGAGTTATTATTAAAACCACACCTATCTAAATATGGATGAGTTGTATATATCCTGAGCGAGATATATATATATATATATATATATATGCACAATGATTAAGTGTGGCTAGTTTCTAGATAATTTCATAAAGTTGATGATCACTAAGCAAAACTCATGTCCCCCATTACGTGATACAGAGGAACGCTAAAAATGTCTCCCAAACTCAAAGGAAATAAGGCCACGCATATATCCGATATATACAAATCAGCAGTCATGGAAACTTTTCCATGACAAGTCAGCATTTGAAAGATCATATATATGAGCTGAGTTGTACAAAGCAACGTCCACACTAGCTCGACACTTGTCAACAAAAAAATAAAAGAAAGAAAAAGTTAAGACACTTGTCAAAACCTCATCTTCTTTAACATTCACCAAGACAATTACTCGCCATATATTTTTTTTGGAATATTTATTTCTTTTTAACGTACAGTTTTTCCTTTTGCTTTGTCTAATATAAAAAGCTAGCCATGAGCCGATGGCAATCCAGGTTTTCTCTCTCAGGTTGCCACGTAAGCTTACCTGGAGACTTCCTTGACTTTCCAATACTATACACATAATATATATATTTGTTATGACACACATCACTAGTTTTTGGACGTCAACGTGGAGACTCTCAATTGCCATATTGCGAAGCTATTTAATTCCATTGTTTTTAAGTAATATTAATGCTTTCTGTAACATCTCTTTTCAAATATTTGGTACGTTCACTTTTTTATCTTTAGTCACCATCTCATATTGTAATGTCCTGGCTGGGAAAAGCTACATCTCATGGCATGTTATGCATATACACAAAAGGACGTATATATATATATATATATTTATATATATATATATGCATGATATGATGATGAGACAAATCGTGAGTTTGATAATTGGATTTGCGTGTTAGTATTAGCCAGCCGACATCCATATGTGTGGTCATTTGTTTTTTTAGCTTTAATTTGATTTTAATTTTTTTCCTTATTTCGTTGAGCAATATTGACTAGCTAGGAAACCTCACATCTATCTTAATGAGAAAGAAAGAAAATGTGGAACATCTAATCCTTGTTTAGTCATGAAAAGTGGCCGCATTAGAGGTTAA